AACTGGGATAACTCTAGAACTAGCCTGAGATCAAACTGAGATAATTATGAGATTTAACTGGGATAACTCTAGAGTTAGACTGAGATTAAACTGGCTTAACTCTAGAACTAGCCTGAGATTAAACTGAGATAATTATGAGATTTAACTGGGATAACTCTAGAGTTAGACTGAGATTAAACTGGCTTAACTCTAGAACTAGCCTGAGATTAAACTGAGGACTCTAGAATTATCCTGGGATTAAACTGAGATAATTGTGAGATTTAACTGGGATAACTCTAGAATTAGCCTGAGATTAAACTGGGATAATTCTGAGAATAAACTGAGATAACTCTAGAGGTAGCCTGAGATTAAACTGGGTTAACTCTAGAATTAACCTAAGACAAAACTGAGATAACTCTAGAATTAGCCTGGGATTAAACTGAGATAATTATGAGATTTAACTGGGATAACTCTAGAATTAGCCTGAGATTAAACTAAAATAACTAGAACTAGCCTAAGATTTTTTTCAGTTAACTCTAGAGTTAGCCTGAGATTAAACTGGCTTAACTCTAGAACTAGCCTGAGATTAAACTGGGTTAACTCTAGAATTAGCCTGAGAATAAAATGAGATTACTCAATTCAATTCAATTCAATTCAAAAATACTTTATTGATCCCAGAGGGAAATTAGGTAAACTCTAGAATTAGCCTGAGAATAAACTGAGATAATTATGAGATTTAACTGGGATAACTCTAGAATTAGCCTGAGATTAAACTCAGTAACTCTAGAACTAGCCTAAGATTATTTTGAGTTAACTCTAGAGTTAGCCTGAGATTAAACTGGGCTAACTCTAGAATTAGTCTGAGATGAACTCTTGGATTAGTGGACTGTTTACATTTTGAGATGCTGCTGTTTTTAGTGTCTCTTGGTGTTAGCTGGAGCTCCATGTTGGTTTTGATGAAACATAATGGTCACTCGTCTCCTCTCAGGCTCTGTCTTCCATCATGCCAGTCGACATGGCCATCAGGATCTGTCTCCCCAGCTCTCCTCCACTGCACTCCTTCCTCGCTAACCATGACAACCATCTTTACACGCCAGCCACTGTGTCATCACACTACCAGCTGTTGCGACCCTGTCTGTCGTCCGAATGTGTCAACACTGTCGTCACAGCAACTGCGTTTACGACAGGCATGTCAGAAGAGAATGACTACCCGCTGAGGAGGAGCCAGAAGAAAAGTGTGGTGTTTGCAGACTCTCAGGGTTTGGCACTCACGACTGTCCATGTCTTCTCTGAGACCGAGAGCGACCAGCTAGCTGAGCTGCAGTTCCACTTGACAGAGATGGAGGGTGCAGCCGAAAGACTCTACCTGGGAAACAACAAAGGTACGTAAAGTCTGGACCAGTTTGACTTTAATCTCAACCAGCTTGACTTTAGTCTCATCCAGTCTAACGTCAATTTAAACTAGTGTTACTTTGGTCTGAACCAGTTTGACTTTAATCTCAACCAGTTTTAGTTTAATCTCATCCAGTCTAACTTCAATTTAAACTAGTGTTATTTTGGTCTGAACCAGTTTTACTTTGGTCTGAACCAGTGTTACATTGGTCTGAACTAGTTTTACTTTGGTCTCAACCAGTTTTACTTTGGTCTGAACCAGTGTTACATTGGTCTGAACCAGTGTTACATTGGTCTGAACCAGTGTTACTTTGGTCTGAACCAGTGTTACTTTGGTCTGAACCAGTGTTACTTTGGTCTGAACCAGTTTTACTTTAATCTCAACCAGTCTAACTTCAATTTAAACTAGTGTTATTTTGGTCTGAACCAGTTTTACTTTGGTCTGAACCAGTGTTACTTTGGTTTGAACCGGTGTTACTTTGGTCTGAACCAGATTTACTTTGGTCTGAACCAGATTTACTTTGGTCTGAACCAGATTTACTTTGGTCTGAACCAGATTTACTTTGGTCTGAACCAGTGTTACTTTGGTCTGAACCAGTGTTACTTTGGTCTGAACCAGTGTTACTTTGGTCTGAACCAGTGTTACTTTGGTCTGAACCAGTGTTACTTTGATCTGAACCAGTGTTACTTTGGTCTGAACCAGTTTGACTTTTGTCTGAACCAGTGTTTCTTTGGTCTGAACCAGTTTGACTTTGGTCTGTACCATTTGACTTTGGTCTGTACCAGTTTTACTTTCGTCTGAACCAGTCCTCTTTCCTTCTGAACCTGTCTTAAGTTAATCAGAACCAGTCTTACTACTGTTTAAACTAGTTTTACTTTGGTCCGAACCATTTTTATTTCAGTCTAAGCTATTTTACCTTTTGTTTGTAATTAAAATGAACATTTTGGCCAAAAAAGTTTGGTGGAGGTCACACAGGTTGTAGATCCTTTGTTCTCAGATGGTTTCAGGACTCAGGGGTATCTGCTTTCAGACATAAGCTGAACTTATTCCTGAACGTACTTTAATCCACTGCACTGTTTATGTTCTACTTCTAGATTCAACAGTTTCCTGTCTTGTTCTGGGTTTTACTCCACCAGCTGTAGACTATCTGGACCTGAGGAACCGGCTTAAAACCAATCATGTTTCTTTGGAGACCTGTTCAATACAGGAAAACCTACTTTCTGGTACTGTTCAGGTCCAAAACATCTGTTTTGAGAAGTTGGTCTTGGTCAGGATCACCTTTGACTCGTGGACCTCCTTCCAAGACGTCGAGTGCCGGTACTTGAACAACGTCTACGGCTGCCCTGACACGGACACCTTTGCCTTCTCTGTTGCAATGCCCCAGAACCTGGACTCCTCCAACAGTGTGGAGTTCTGCATCCAGTACCAGACACAGGACCAGACCTTCTGGGACAACAATCTGGGGAACAACTACCGCCTAATGACTGTGGATCCGAATGGTTGTCCGAGCCGAATCCCTGACAGGAGCTCTGGACTGGACTCCCAGAGGGACAGCAATGGGGAGAAGATGGATGAAATGGAGTTTGGCCCCTTAGGAAGTCCCAGGACCTCAGTGGGGATCTTCTCCGAGTGGCAAAGCTGGAGTTGCGTTGAGACCAGTGCCCCCTACTGGTGAGGGCAGCAGGGGTTTTTAGTTAGACCAGTTTTATCCTCTGAATGTTAGAAACCTTTTGGAACTCCTCTGGAGTGTCCGTGTTACCCTGTAGATCCAAAGCACAGCCTACACTCTGTCACTTTACCTTCTGGAACCACTCGAATGAAGATCCTCGTTGGGTTCGGGCACCGTCTGCACAGATCCAATCTCAGGAACTCATGAGGCTCCAGGACTCAAACCGGAGCTGAAGGTTCTCCACATCAACTGAATCCTGAAATGCACCTGTCCTTGGACTCAGTCCAGCTTCAGAGTAACTGCAACAAAACCAGCATGGGGTTCCCTGGAGGGAAAACCTCAGAACTCCACAGGAACATTTGGGGCTCGGGACCGTTCAGAACTTTATTAAGGTTCCAGGACTTTAAAAAAGTCTTCTGAAGCTTCAGGACGTCTCAGACGTGACTTCCACTGGACCGAAGACAATCTGAACTCTGGACCATCAAACCTTTTCTTCTTGGGAGCACTTGGAACTGGATCGAAAGGTTTCACTTCACATTCATGACAGAACCTGAGTGGAGTTCTGGTCCTCTGGGAGCTCATTGACCTCAGAACTGATGTTTCTGTCTGGAGGGGGGCACCTTGACCACAACCAGAACCAGAACCAGAAATCCAGTCCTTTAATCATTTCTGTAAAGAGAAAGGGAAGAGGTTCCACCGAGGTTGGGGGGGTCACAGGTCGGTTAGCCGTGCTGGGTCACGGTGCCGTGCACGATTTTAAAGAGTTCTGTTTATGTACTGAACTGGTGGACTGGTGTTTAGGTGGTACTCATAAGTCCGACCCATTCGTCATTATGTGTAATTTTAGTTAAACACATGTTGGTCATCATGGTAATGGATCAGAACCAGCAGAGGCGATACCTGGGTGACGGTCCACCTGGGAATGTGTATAACTGAATTTTTAGCAATGGAATTTTAAAGCTTGAATGTCTTGTTCGGTGGTTCTGTTGGGCTTTTTTTCCCTTTTCTTTTAGGGGAACTGAAACAGATTCTGTACCGTTTGGACCAAAAAAGTTCTGCGAGTTCTGATGGTTCTGGTTCCCCCTGATGTGAGTCTCTACATGTGTTTGGTTGATTATTGATTTAGCTTAATTCAAGCCCTCAGATAATAAACACTCTGCAGTACAGGTGGTTGCAGGTGTTGGGAAACCATTTCTGTTCAATTTCAGTTTCGTTCATAGGAAACTTTTTATTTATTGGCTGAACCTATTGGCTGTTTTTATCCACCTACAGTCACACAGCGCACGTACGTGCACGTCTCACTTCAGGAAGTGATGTCACTTTAATTTGTCTTGGAAACAGCTGAAGCTAACGCTGCACATCCTGTTAGCTCCTGTTTATCATTTCAAAGCCTTTCTGAGCAACAAACACTGCAGTGCTCTTATGTGCGTGTGCGTGTGCGTGTGCGTGTGTGTGAGTGACAGGACGTCTGAAGGTAAATGTAAAGTGTTAAAAAAGTACCGTCATCGACCTGCTGACATTGAAAAGTAAAGGAACCTGAACGCATCACGCTGGAACCTGAACGCAGCACGGCGGTCATGGCGAGCCCTTCATGTATTCTTATTGTTTAACTTTGTGTTAGTGATGTCACTGTAAACAGACTGATGAGTGGACACATGATGATGTCATCATGTTTTCCTGTATGTAATAGGAAGTGATGTAAATATGAGCGTTGACTGTTCCTTTAGCGTTTGTCCTTTCAAAATAAAAGTTTAATAAAGTTTACTGTGTTGTTGTTGTTGTTGTTTTCAGTCAGACCGAACTAAGACCAGGATCTCAGAGGCCAGACTGAGACCAGGACCTTAGAGTTCAGACTGTGAGGACAGCTGCCTTACTCTGCAGCAGATTATCAGATTAAATCCAGCAGCAGCTTCGACTCCTCATCCTGTTTCCATTTCCAGATTAGAGTTGCGTAACGTCAGCGGGCAGCAACGTGTCACTGCAGGTCAGACCTCACTCTGCTTCATCAGAGGGCAGCGAAGAAGAGGAGCAGCACAAACACACGGTGACATAGCTGGTTACATAAGCATTTATTCAGAGAACCACAGACAGTAAGATGATCTCAGCAGCTTTGATTGATGATGATCACATTAAGCTGAACTCAGAAAACGTGAGTGTTTTGTTATACTAGTTTTCTTTTTGTGGCTGATGGGAAACGTTAAACCATCAGCTGATCTGTGCTCTGACTCGTGTGACCTTTGGAGCTGGCTTATCATCGATCTGAACGCATTGATCTGCTGTGATCAAAACTATCACCCAGCGGGTGAGTCAGGGTTAGACGTGTTGGGGTGGCGGGATGGATTGTTTTTAAAATGTGAAAACCACGTAAACACGGTGAAGCAAGAGGTCAAATGTTTTGAACCTAATTTAAATATTAAAAATCAGGATCATGTCGGATGGATTTCTGAAAATGAGACCCTGTTCTGTGATGTTATTGACAGTATCTCTGTTAATGACAGGTCTCTTAAAATAAACTTGTCTTTAACCACTCGTGACATTCTGAGCTGTAAGTCACCCGAAGGGGACAGGAAGAGGAGGACATTTAAGCTGTAGATAGAGAGAGAGGGATGGATGGATGTTGGTTGGATTGATGGATGGTTGGATGATGGATGGATGGATATTTGTTGGATGTTGGTTTGATGTTGGATGGATAGCTGATAGGATGGTTAGATGTTGGTTGGATATTGTTTTGATGATTTGATGTTGGTTGGTTGGATGTTGGTTAGATGTTAGTTGGATGCTGGTTGGATGGTTAAATTTTAGTTGGGTATTGGTTTGATGGATGGATGGTTGGATGCTAATTGAATGCTGGTTGGATGGTTGAATGTTGATGTTTGGATGCGGGTTGGTTGGGTGATGGATGGTTGAATGTTGGATGTTGGTTGGAAATTGGTTTGATGGGTGGATGGTTGGATGCTGCTTGAATGCTGGTTGGATGATGGATGGATGGTTGAATGTTGGATGTTGTTTGGATGCTGGTTGGTTGGATGATGGATGGTTGAATGTTGGATGATGATGATTGGATGCTGGTTGGATGGTTAGATGTTGGTTGGATATTGTTTAATGGATGGATGGTTGGATGCTGCTTGAATGCTGGTTGGATGATGGATGGATGGTTGAATGTCGGATGTTGTTTGGATGCTGGTTGGTTGGATGTTGGATTTTTGAATGTTGGATGTTGGTTGGATGTTGGATGCTGCTTGGATGCTGGTTGGATGATGGATGGATGGTTGAATGTTGGATGCTTGTTAAATGGTTGGTTGTTGGTTGGATGCTGGATGGTTAGATGTTGGTTAGATATTGGTTTGATGTTAGATGTTGGTTGGATGCTGCTTGGATACTGGTTGGATGATGGATGGATGGTTGAATGTTGGATGCTCATTAGATGGTTGGTTGTTGGTTGGATGCTGGATGGTTAGATGTTGGTTAGATATTGGTTTGATGTTAGATGTTGGGTGGATGCTGGTTGGATGATGGATGGATGGTTGAATGTTGGATGCTCGTTAGATGGTTGGTTGTTGGTTGGATGCTGGATGGTTAGATGTTGGTTAGATATTGGTTTGATGTTAGATGTTAGTTTGATGCTGGTTGGATGTTGGTTAGATGTTGGTTGGATGCTGGTAGTAAAATCCAGATTATTGATCCCTTTCAGGACAGATATCTTGGCTGAATCAAAGGTTCACATCAAAACAACAATGAATCTCATCTGATTTCCAACATCTTTAATCTCAATTAACTGCAAACCATTTAAAATTTCACAGCAGGGATACAAAAATATAATCTGGGATAATAAAAGTCCAACAGCAGGATCCAGGTTTTAAAATAAGATCAGGTTCTTCATGCTGAACGGGACCAGAAACGATCTAAATGATTCTGTTCTTCACAGAAAATAATCCTTTTTATTTATGGAAAATAAAACATATGGACTGAGGGAAGCTTATAATGTTAATTTAAAAAAAGCTAAATACTTAAATTTTAGATTTACATGTCAATAAATCAGTTGAATTTCATTATTTCCAGCAGCAGATTAGGAAATTCATAAAATAATTATTCTGATAAATTGTTAAAGTCTTTAAAGTATCTTCAGCAGTCACATGTATGAAAGATTGATGCTGTACGTTTGATCAGTTTGAACACATTTCAAGACATTTCATCACTTCTCTGAAACAAACACAGATGGTAAAACATTCAGACTGGATCTTGTAAACACAGAAGTTCTCATCTTTCCCGCCTCAGAACCAGAAACCGGAGCGTAAACAGGAGTTTAAAGTACCGCCAACACGTTAACAGAACCTTCAGACAAGCATACAGACTGTCTGATAATACAGCCGTGTTTTTATAAATAATATAACCCAAAGTTCTGACATTTTGTAAACGTTATGAATTAACGTCACATTTCCATCAGTGTTCAAATTCAGATTAGAATTTAAAATCTTACAATCTGAGTGAGGAGAGGGTGAGGAAGCAAACTGTAAAATAACACTGTTGTGATGTAGGTGATAAGCCCCGCCCCTCAGCCACACAGGTGTGTTTTACAGTGAACCCCTCCAGTCCCCCTGGGGTTTTTCACTCTGCTTTTTTAATACGACGTAGCAGAGAATTAATCTTCCACCGTTTTTGACAGATTTCTTCTCGCAGTTTATCGATGATGAAAATGTCGCTCTACTTCAACAAGCTTCAAAATACATTCACCTATACAGCTCAGGGTCAAAGGGAGGTAAGATAGCACCAAAGTATAATGTTTTATCTGAACACCAGCTGACTTTCAACCTGATCAGACAAACGTTTGTTTTTAAACCCTAAATGTGACGATTGTACGGTGGTGGCAAAACAGAAAATTAAAAAAAAATCTGAAAATTTCATCAAATTTTCTCAAGAAATAAAGTTGTGCTCAGTTATTGTTTGTTGAATCATCACACATTTTCTGGATTTTCAGTGTTAAAGTGTTTTTTTAATTAATTGGCGCTGTATAAATAACCTAAATTATTCATTTTTAATTTTTAATTTACTACTAAATTCTGTTTCTAGTTTGTCATTTTCAGGCACTAACTGTAGTTTAAAGGGATCCCCGATTAGTTGTAACATTAGGCTTTATCTGATAAACACATATTTTAACTGTAAAATAAAGACTGTAAAAATACTGTAGGATGTTCAGATTTTATTATTTTTAAAGTAAAAATTTCAAAATATATTACACGGACGGAGCCATTTTATTTACATGCAAAGCATTCTGGGTAAATGATGACGTGGATAGGTCCTCAGTGCGAGGCTGCTAGCGAGCTATATCCACCCTGAAGGTTAATCTTGGACAATATCTGAYGATMGACTCTTWWAWRWRAMMMSAGAGCGTTGACAGAGAGGAGAAGGTAGAAATGACTCAGCCTGGAACTGAAAATATGGATGGAGGACAACAGTTTTGCTTGTTTGTCGCGCTAGCGCCAAGCTAATACATATAAGGCAATATAGCATCAGCGCTAGGGCAAAGGCTAACAGGCTAAGCTGAGGTTCTTCTTCCATGAAGCAGCTCTGTTGTCCTCCATCCATATTTTCAGTTCCAGGCTGAGTCATTTCTACCTTCTCCTCTCTGTCAACGCTCTCTGGTTTCATTTAAAAGAGTCGATCATCAGATATTGTCCAAGATTAACCTTCAGGGTGGATATAGCTCGCTAGCAGCCTCGCACCGAGGACCTATCCACGTCATCATTTACCCAGAATGCTTTGTGTGGAAATAAAATGGGCTTGTCCATGTTAAACTATGTTTTTTAAAATTGACGAAACTAAACAGCCTACAGTATTTTTACTGTCTTTATTTTACAGATAAAATAAATGTTTATAAATAAAGTCTAATGTTACAACTAATCATGGATCCCTTTAAAGAGGAAAAGTGATTTGTATTTTCAGGCTGAAGAGAGTCTGGATACGTTCTGAAGCTGCTGCAGGTTCAGGATCTTTACGTCAATCAGAGCTGAGGAGCAAACTCTGAAACTCTTCCGGGTCACGGGTCCGGCTGGGCTCAGGTCCGATCTTTGTTTCGGGCTTTTGTAAATTCAGACTTTGAATTATTTGGATCTGTAAAGTTTTTCTTGGCCTCCTTCCAGTTCCTGTCCCCCAGAAACCAGAGAACGGCAGCAGGTTCATTTGTGAGTCCGTCTCCTGCAGACTGATGTGGTCCGTCAGAACTTTGGTTCTGGTGGTTCTACTGGCTGATGTTCTGAAGATGTTCCAGGGCCTGGTCTTTGGTCTGAGATAAACCAGGTGAGTGCACCCTTCAGGTGTAATTCAGCCAATCCCAGCACAGAGTGGCTCATCAGGAATCGGTTCTCTCAGGTTCTGTTCAGGTTCTGTTCTGGTTCTGCTTTGGTTTTAGTTCAGTCTTTGCTGAACTCTGAAGGAACCCCAGAAACGTTGTTTGAAATCCACCAGCTGATCTCAGGAGGTTTAGCGGGTCCAGAACCAGTTCTGGGTAAGCTGGAAGTCGGTCCAGCAGAACTTCCTGACCTGGAACCTGGAAACCATCATCCCTGAGGTGGCACCGGGATGAGGCAGACCAGCCGACAGCGTGGCCCTGCTGGTTCCATTCATCTGGTCTCGTCCAGGTTTGGCTGACCCCCGTTCTGGACTCCGGAGGCCTGGACTCGCTGTGGTGAAAACAGCAAACAGGAGGTTAGAGCTATGAGTCCAGTTTGAGGAGCTCACGTGTGTCGGACCCACCTGTTGGTTCAGGACCAGAGAATGAAGGCCAAAGAGAAAAACAGAAACAGGAAGAGAAACTGGAGGAAAGAATAGAAACGAATCAGTAAAACTCAGATTCTCCGTCTGCGTAAAGTCAGCCAGGTGTTTTCAGCTCTTTGTTTATTTATTTATTTATTTATTTGGTGTTTTCAGCTCTTACCTTCTCTTCCAGCTCTTTGATTTGTCGTTTCTGAGCTTCGATGAATTCCTCCAGCTCCTTGTTTCTCTGTCGAACACAACATGTTCAGAAACATTTCAGATCCCACAAACTCCGCTGAAACACAACAGTTAACGCATCAGTTTGAACCGTTTGTTTATTCGGAAAAAGTCTTCGTCGTTATTCGGGCTGTTAGCGCACGTAGCGTAATTCGACAGAGACGAAGCTTTTTGGAAGTGAACATTTTTGTCCTCAGTGAAAAAACTGTGTGGCTCCAAGTTTAAAATAAAATGTTTAACACGTTTTCATTGTTTAGCTCATCTTCTGAGAGTAAAATCCTAGTTTAAAATTTTATAACATTTTATTGTTATTTAGCTCACTGTCCTGACATTTTGCAAATTTTTACTTCATTTTAAATGTTATGTCAAAATGTTAAATCTTAAATCTAAATGTAAAAGGTAAATCTTAAATGTTGAAGTTTACATTTAAGTATTTGAGAATGGAATGCAGCTTTTGCTGATTGGTGTGCAGCTCTTATTATGACATCATCATCCTGAGACAAAAGCGACCGCTAACATTGCTAACACTGCTAATGCTTGCTGACAAGACATCAAACTTGCTGCTGCAGCCGGTGTTCAAGATGCACTTCAACCTGCTGGACCACAGGTACCATCTGTATTGTTTTCAGTGAAAGCATTTTAAATCTAAATTTTAAAAGCCACCTTCAGCAGAATTAGCAGCGTTGGCAGCATTAGCAATGGTTTTTGTCGCAGTTTGATGATGACATAGATACCTGTAGTCCAGCAGTAATGCAGCTGCAAGTTTGATGCTTTGTAGGGAAGCGTTAGCACCATTGGCTGTGTCCAAAACGGCAGGCCGGGTCCTCCGAAGGCCGAATTCATCGGCCGCATACGTCATAGCGCCGCGACAAAGGACGTCCCAAACCGAAGACTCCTCCGATGCGGCCAACAAATACGTCCTTCCTTTTCCCCGATTTGAAGGACAGGTCTGATGGATCCTTCCCGGCCCAGCGTATCCCATAATGCATTGCGGCCCGACCGGAGATTTTTTTAAGCTACGTAGTAATGGCGGACGAAGCGAGAGAAAAGAATACATTTTAAATAAAAATATGGCGATAAAAAAATTTAAAAATTTTAGCAGTTGTAATTCTAATACTTTTATCATTTGTATGGACGTGTTTTTAAATATTATTTTTATCATAAAAAAAGCTAAATAAACATGCACCTACAGCGGGTCAATTAGTTCTTCAAATGTTACCTTTAAGTTAATTTTATGTTTTGTGATATTAATAATGCTAATATATTGATATTTTTCTAGTTTTGATTTAAGTTTGCTTGTTTAGCGTCATCATGGTTGCTAGGTGACATGACGTACGCCGGGGTAAGGAGGGGAGGCTAGACCGTCCAAATCCACAGCCTCTTTTTTTCCGGTCTTCCCGGTCTACCAAGGACCCGGCCCGCCGAGACCGGGGAGTCTGGGTCCTCCAGAGGACCCAGCCTGTCGTTTTTGGACACAGCCATTATCAGCATTAGCAGTTGCTTTTGTCGCAGGATGATGACATCATAACAAGAGCTGAGCACCAACAGCAAAGGCTGCGTTCCATTATGAAATATTTAATGTAAACTTTATCATTTAGCTTCTACATTTAAAATTAAACTTTTACATTTAAATTTAGGATTTAACATTTAGACATAACATTTAACGGTTAAATGCAGCATTTAGTAAAATTACCAAAATGTAAGAACAGTGGTTTGTAAAGTGGGGGCCACCAGGTGGTGCTAGTGAGGCTTCAGAAAGCTGAAGGGAAGATAAAAAAATTAATAAATGTTTTAAATCATTTTTACAAAATTTAATATGTTTTAATCATTATTTTAAAATGTAATTCATAATATAATGAAATGTTATTTAAGCGAGCTTCAGATATGTTTGATTTGTTTTGTTCTCATTGTGAGCTGTTTCTTTATATATTTTGTATAATTTTTTTACTTAGTAACTCGTATATGAGAGGTATTAAAACTGCTGCTTGAGGTAAAGTTTTAGTGTTGACAGGAGGAACAGCTGAATAGTTTTTATTTTAACGTATCTTACTGTAAACCAGAGCGTTATGAATATTTCAGCACTGCTCTGAAGGTGTTTACCTGTTGCGTGAGTTGAAGCAGTTCCATCCTCTCTCGGAGGATCTGAGCGTCTCTCTCTCTCAGCTCACACATCAGAGTTCGTTTCCACTGATCGGTGGCTCTCCTCAACGCCTCCTTTTCTTCTTCTGTCAGAGTCTCAGACAGGCGACCCTCCCCGCTCTTTAATCCAACAATCCTGGACTCCTCCTCCTGCTGCAGAGCCTCAAAAAGCATGGCCTCCAGCTCTAGGATCCTCTAAATCACACACACATTTCAAAAATGTCAATTTACTTTCTTATAATTTAAAGATTACATGATAACTGCTTCAGTTTTTCAGATCGTCAGATTTCACTCAGTGGCTGGTTGTAAGCGGACTGGTTGTTCTGGGTTTCAGGGTTTTACCCTCTGACCTTATGAGCCTGGTCCATGGACTGCTTCCTGAAGTCCAGCTCCTCGTCCAGGTAACCTTTCTGTTTTTTGAAGAGATCCTGAAAAGCAGGATCAAAGTCGACACATAAAATAAGACCAACAATCTGATTACTCAGGCTTACAAAAAAAATTGAAAATAGTTAAACTTTTGGCAATTGATTTATTACAAACATGCACTACTGAATCCAAAAATAACATCCATTTCTATCAATCAGGTCACGTTTTTATGCTAAGTTCATTTTTTGTCTAAATGGATTATTATAAAT